TTATCTCTTTTCTCAGTATAATTTTCAGTAATGCGGAGAATTGAATCTCTTTATTAAATACGTTGGAACTCAAAAGACTCGCTGAGGCGAAATCAATCATAAAGCAAAACTACAATAATGATTCGGTTTCCTCGTCTTATTAGAGTCTGTCCAATTATACTTATTTCTAAATTATTGTTATATTTCTTTTATTGAATAAATGCCACACAAAAGATAAATAAAACTCATATAAAAGCTTAATAAAATACAACAATACTATATAACGAACCTAAATAATAAAGTTGTTGATATAATTACTTTATTTATATAAATATGTATAATTGAAATCATCAAATAACATTAAACTAAATTTACTGACATCATACTGTTTTAGTAATATTTTCGTTTTAAAACAAAAATGTGTATGTCTAAGACTCGCTTGTTCTTTATATAAACAAAAACCAAGCTCGTAAATTATTAAAATAATGTTATCGGTTGAAGGAATACCATCGTAGCTTATTGAATACTAGAATGGGTCATTATACGCCAGGGCACGGTCACCACTCCCATAATGTGGCGCACGAAATTATTATACACTTTGTAATTCTTTTACAAAGAACAATATTAGTTCTGTTTTATAACACCTTTTATGAACATTTCAAATAACTTAAGTTTCAATAACAATGTTTATAAATTTATTTTTTTATTAATTCATATTTCATAGTTACCAAAATATTTTTTATCTGAAACGTGACAATTTGATTTTTATTGTTTATTTAATTTAACAGATTGATACTTTCAAAGCTTTTACGTCAAAGTGTACTCAAATACATGAGCCTACTGTAATGGATTAAAAACATTGTTCCATCGTAAAAACGGAAGCCTAATAGCTAGTTTTACTATGTAGTAAATATATATGGGATAACAAATTGTCTCATCAGTAAATTAATAATGACATTAGCTCCCTATTTATACCTTGTAGATGATATTTAAACACTTGTTTCTTTTTTCAATCTAAAAAATATGTTTTCTAAAATCAAATTTTAATTACTTTCACATTATGAATTGACAAATGAAACAAGTTAATAGTAACAAATAATCGAAAAAGATTTCAGGTAACGTAAACTCTTTAATGCAACACTTATTGAAATATCTATTTGGTTTTTTCATAATAATATGTGAAATTTCATATTTATATTTAAACAACAACCATACATTTAACCATCATTGAACATTAAGCCATACATTTTTCGTATTATATTTTGTATTAATAAAGATTTAGCAAGAACAAAGAGTCATTAGATATTCGTTTTAAACCATTACCTACGTAGCAAATAAAAATGAAATGATTAATATAAAAAAACCCTTTCCGACCCCGTTTCAAACATTCAAGATCCCGTATAAGAATATCAATCACTAAGGGTGAAGCTGTCAATGTTTGCATGAGTGGCGTGAGTGATTGTTGCTAATAGCACAATAAGGTCACACTAAACTGACCCAAAATGTACAAAAATAATAGCGCTTTCACCTTATTCGGCTCTCAAATATTAAATGCAATTTATATAATCAGAAACTACATTTAATTCTTATGTAAAGATATATTAAGATAGAAACCTGTAAAGTAAAATTATGGCTTCTGTTCTTCCTACACATCTGTCAGTCGAGTTGCGAATAAAAAAAATGTATTTCATCTTTCATAGAAATTATGGCTTATTTATTCTAAAACTTTTATGAAACGAAAATCGTGACTGAAATATTAACAGCTTGTAGCGGAATGTAGGTTTTTTCAGTTCCTTTTTTCCAAGAGTTAAAAAAAATGCAATTATTTCACATCAAACCATCCAAACAATTTCTTTATGCTAAATTTTCACTTATTTAATATTATAAATGAAGAAATAATTGTGTATATATATCCGTGTGTCAATTTTTTCGACAATTAATAGGAAACTATTGAAGCTATTTTCATGAAATTAAATTGTTAATACATAGTTACTTAGTACTAAAACTGGAGAAATTTCAATATGGCTTATAATTTGTCAAAATAATTGGTAAGAAATGGGCGAAGAGACTCGGACAGAAGCTATTTTTATCTCATGTAACATATCTCTAACAATTTCTAATAACATCCTGCGCCCTTGCGTATTATAATCATTTGCTACATTAATTCAACGACTGCGTCATACATGAGATATTTTATTGGTGCGTAACCTCATTAATTGAATGAACTATAATTGACATACCGACTGACCCCCCAATTAAACAACCCATGAACACATTCTATTTTATTTTATCTCTTTAATCCCAAACACATATAATATATATAAATAAATATTCTCATTAGTCCTCCTAATTTATTTCTGCAAACTATAAACTTAATTTAATTACTATTAAGTATGTGTTTAAAAATAAAATATTTGGTGGTTATATTTACTGATATACTATGTCTTTATGATTATTCAACATCAAGGTTTAAAATATCTCATGACTATTAAACGAATAGCAAGCATTATAAATTACATATTTCAAATGTGTAAGTAATTTATCAAGAGATATAATTATTTTAAGTCGTAATTACAACTTAAAATATAAATTACAGCTTTAAATGAAGTTCAGGTAGCTATTCTGATTATACGTAATGTATAAAATAAAAGTTTTAAACATAACTAAAACTTACCAGAACAGAGGAAACTGGCCAACAATATCAGCGAAGCCCACTTCATTTTCGTACACCTCTAGAGCACGATTTAGTACATTAAACGTGTTATTTTCAACTTACGCGGTCCCTAGTGGGAAACTTTTCCGGAGAGTCCTGTTTCCCGAGCGACACTCGACTGCAAATGCGTTTGTGTAACTACCGACTACCGTTGTCACATTGTACGAACTCTCAACCTTTGACACGCATGCGCGCGGAGATGACCCCAGATAAATAATATTAAGTTTGACTCCTAAGCATATTACTATTAATAAAAATAAATAATGACAGATTTAAATAATGATTTAATAAATTAAATCCCTTTCATAAAGTGAATATATGTTTTTTATGTCTATTTCTAGACTTAGATTAAGACTATTATATAGTCCAAATAGTTTGTAAGTAGAGACTATTAAGGTGTTATATATAACGCATATATTGGTAATGATATGTATGTAAGGAGTTGCGTGTCTGTACCCTATGCCAAGTAATTTTGGGTCAGCAAGTGAGTGGCTCTCATAAGTTACAAGACTTGGACGAGTTATAGCAGTATCCTGCCAAATTTCTTGCAATGTGCGTCGTCATATCATACCACTGACCTATTTATAATTGGTCATTAAAAATTATATCAATATTTAAGGTTATTTAATAGATATTGTTTTAAAAAATCTTAGATTTTTTACGTCTTGTATATTTTAATGTTTTTTCAGGAAGGTACATATTGAAATAAGGTAGAGGTAAGACAAGTAGATGTCTCTATTCAATTGAGCCTTTGATATTTTTCACTTTCATCCTGTCAGGCTGTGATCACGGTGTTTCCAGATAAAACCTTAAATAAAATTTAGTACCAACCATTAAAAAAATATATAAATTTTAATCTACTCTCCAAAATCTTAAATATATTTAAATACAATAATTTTTATGAATACAACTTTAGGTACCTATAATACTCATCAGATTTTCTTGAAGTATTCACTCGTAAAATACAAAAATAATTTGCCCCAATATCATTTTGTGTTGGTGTTTTAATACCATAGATACATTTCAACGGTTGTACCTAAATAATTGCATTTTTTATTATGAAGTGCTCTATTCCATTACAATATCTTTATTTCAAACTTAAATTTTCCCAAAATTACTGCATCCTTGTATCAATGAAAAATAACACGTTCATATTAGATTAAATTTATTTCCGTCTTTATATCTTTTGTCCTTGTTTTGGAAGGTTAAGTTACTGTAATCAGAATTGCAGGTGTTTAGATACTTAATTATTATTTACTTTTTTGCAAATATTTTTCACTTTTATAATTTTCTACATTTCAATAATAAAAATAATGAAGATTTTTCGTATCAAATGATCCATTACTTTTGATTTGACAAACATCACATTAATTACGTCCCATTTGATTAATAAATTAAAAAAAGACTTTATTTTTATTCCTTCTAAAAAAATGTTTCAGACAAATGCTTTGACATTTGTTACGATTGAGAAATGAGATTTCTTTGTTATTAGTTCAAGTTTTTAAATTTTTAACCACCAAATGTACCTAGTGGGACAGAAAGAGACGGCTGTTTTTTTTCTATAGGTCATTCATATAGTAATATATCAAGTATATTATTGTCATACATCATTAAAAGTAGTTTAATTCTTATAATACTAGTTATACAGTTAATAGTGTAAATTTTTGTGACTTTACTATCAAGAATTTTAATAAGTTACTTAGAATTAATGATATTTCAATAAATCTATGTAAATAATATAAACTATATATTTAACACTCAGTCTACATTAGAAGTCTATAAAATCAAAATGATTTTGAAATAAAAATTGTTATAAACCTTTATTTACCATAAACAGTATACTTTTATTATCTGTGACTACTGAATTTCAGTACATTCTGGAACGTGTGTACATTTCATTATAACACAATTATTTTACAAGTGTGAAATACCGAAGTGGACAAACAAAACACCATTAATATTTATATTTAAAGAACACTTAATGTTATCTCCTATCAATATCAAGATCTAATCAGTCTATCAATAAATAAACTGTACAGATTTCAGCATATTTTTTTGTCTATTTCTATGCCGCGGTATTATCGATCTAATCTCTCTGATATATAGATATTCGTTAAGTACATAAAGAGGGCTAATTATAACAAAAGTCAGATTTGTTACAGAGAGCAAAGAATAAGTTTACAATATGTTTAGATATTTTTTACTACTATCCGTCGCTGTAATAGGTACGGAAGGAATATTTTTTTTGTATTAAAATTTAGGTTGTAAATAATACAAAAATTATATATTTTTTTTGTCACAGTCAGCAATGGAGAACCAGAATCAGCGCAAGGCAACTTTAACAGATATTTTGCATACACAAGGTAGGTACAATTAATAATTATTTCTAGATCTACCAATATATCATATAAAAATAACAATAGGTATTCAAATTTCATTGTAATAATAACATTAGCTTTTGAGATTCATGAAATTCTTATACCTCTAATACATAAATGTATCGTTTATATTGTTTGATATTAATCATTCTTCTATTGACTTTATTTACAGGAAAAATTTAAATAACCCGATCGAGCTGAAAGCTGGCGAAATCACGGAGGAAGCGGTCGCGGATCTGACTCTCAATAAGACTACTATTGTAATAATTCACGGACACAGGGGCTCGGTGTCTACGACGTTAAACCCCACAGTAAAAGATGGTAAATATACCTTACAGGCAATTAGAATAAAAAATTCATAGATGCTAAGGATTCCAAAGTAACTCCAACGCGATATTCCGCACATTGTAATTTCGAATCTTGCTTGTTAGTATATTTTCTAAATGAATGCATGAATATATAAGCATTTAGGAACAAATCATCAATAGAGCATAGAAATATGATTTAAATCTTTTTATCAGGCTCAAGACATTAAAGGAAGCGCAAAAAAAACTTTAAAAGAAAACTAATATTTAGTTAACTTTAATTTTCACAGCTTTCCTAAGAAGTGAAGATGTAGATGTGATCGTAGTCGACTGGTCAGTATATGCGAGTCAAAGCTACAGTAACGCCGTCAATGCTGTGCCAAGTGTTGGAGAAAATGTAGCTGATCTTATAAATGAGTTAGTGAATAACACAGTTGTGGAGCTTACCAGTTTACATTTGGTCGGATTCGATCTCGGTGCCCATGTCGCTGGTTTTGCAGGAAGACTGTTGGACGGAGATGTAGCAAGAATAACTGGTATGTATATTATTTGTAATATATTATATTCAGTACTTAAGTATATAAACATAAGAAAAGAACTGTGAAACAAATATTATACAATTAAATCTGTTCTAGGCCTAAACCCATCGAGAGGACAGTGGGGACAAAATTCTAGAAGATTAAGCATCTCAGACGCCGTATATGTTGAAGTTATTCATACCGACGGCATCGGCCTTTTAGCCTATGGAGTTGGTGATGCCATCGGTGATGTGGATTTCTACGTCAATGGCGGTACTCACCAGCCTGGGTGTCTACTAAATAATTTCTGCAGTCACAACCGTGCTTGGGAAGTTTTCGCAGCGTCACTCACTAACGCTCACCTGATCGGCAATCAATGTAACACATGGCTCCAAGTTACACTAAATACATGTCGAGGATTCACACTCCAGATGGGAAGAAATGATTTGTTTAAATACGCGTAAGTAAACTCAAATTTCAAAATCACATCTCTGTACATAACGCAGTTAACTTCAATTGAAAATCTTATCACTACTAACCCCAGGAATTATTTACCAAATAATTTTTCGTTATTTTTCTTTTAAACCACTTCTATAGTGAGCGAAATAAAGAAAATAAATGGAAATAGGTCAAACAGTCTTTTTTGCGGTTTAAGAGAGAAATGTATCATATTTTAAACAACTATGAAATACAAAAGTACAAATAAATTCATCGTTTAGATTATATTTTTCTTTTTTTCAGATCTGGAATGTATCGCGTGAACACAGGAAGAAGGTATCCTTTCTAGAATATAGTTCGTTAAGGTCTCATCAAAACAAGTGCTAATTGAAGATTATTTTTTATAAAATTATATTATTTTTTAATCAAAGACAATATGTTTTATTTAATAGCTTTATTATGATTATAAATAAGCCTTGTTACACTAACAACTTAAGTAAAACTAAATCAAAATGTCATTAGGCATTCATTTTGAATTAACAATATATATACATATGTAGTGTACGAGTGTATTCTTTATAACTCGTTAAGATTTTATTGACATAAATTAATTTAACTATTTATAAAACAAAGCACTACCACAGACGGCTTACATATATGCAAATAAATCTACTTAAATAACATTTTATTTGCACAAAATACACTTATACCTACTATTTTAATTATGTCTTCTTTCTTGTATAAATAATAAAATATTTATTATATTTCATATTAAATTCGAATTGTCGCAATTTATAAATAAAGTGCAGCTGAAATTAATAATAATATTGCAAATACATCTATCTTCGTAATTCTTATTAAGTAAACTGTACACAAATAAACCAATTATCAGTTCTTTAACTGCAAAGTTCATAAGTTCTGGAACTCTACTAATCAAAGCAGCAAAAGGAAATTAATCATCACTTTGAACATTCATTTTACTAACCATAATTTAAACTTTAAAAAGATTCTTAAGTTCCTCTTTCTTAAAATACTTTTTCATTTTTGTGTCACTATCGTCGTCTGCTGTCCAATATTGAATTTCTTTCTAAAAAAATCCTCTTAGAAAATTATAAACACAATATTTAATATAAAATATATTCCAGAAAATTAGTAACACATGTGTGAGGATGAATGGAAATGTATTTGTTTGTTAGCTTCGATTTATTAAAAACTCACAGACACGTAATTTATACATGAAATCAACATAAAGTTACCAAAGATATTGAATATAAAAGAGGCTTATTAAAAATACTTTCTTTACAAATCACAAAAAACAAGATGAGTATTCGGGCAGCTTTTATACGTGTTCAATTTTTATGGAGAAAATGTTGTCTAAAAGCATAGTTCTTGTTAGAAGAAATTCACAGAAAATCCTTCCTTTTTTATTGATGTTTCCGCTAAAAATTGCAGAAATAAAAAGGTTATTATTGTCAACTATTTCCATACACACAAAAGATAACAATAGAAATAAATCAATCATCTTTAACATAAAAAAATAGCTAATATCATGGATACTAAGAGCTGTAAAAATGTCTAATCACTCTAAGTGTACATATAAGCTCAATCTATTCTAGTTACATAATGTATTCGAATTTAACATGCAAGAAGAGATTAATGAATTGGTTAGAAGTTTCGTTCCTTAATTTACAGATTTTATATAATAAAATTGTAAAAAAGGTCTACGTTGACTATTTTTTTTTTTTTTTGGTGTCGGGTTGGAAAATCCTATCCTACGTTGACTATTCGTAAATCAAAAGTAAGTAAAGCTAAGTACATATTATATGCAAAAATATATGAAATCCTCTGTAGCGTTCTTTATAGTTTATTATACTTTTTAAAACACTTACGTATTAAGCTACATTTAAGTAACAATCCTGAATTCCAAACGGTTACTCTCTTCATAATATACGATCTACTGCCACGAGGATCCAAGATAATTTTTTTTACTTCTATCAATATGTATGTATAAAATGACCTACCATAAAAAATTTAAAATTAGGAAACTAATAGAACTTTAAATGTCCAAAAACGATTGTATAAGTGAAGCTCAACACAAACCGACGTCCTCAATAATTACATGAGATGGAACGCCTTCTAATTCCCACGCTTCACAGAATTGCTAAAGATTCATAAAGATTTCAGAAGTCTTAACCATAGTAGCATCTAAAAATAACCACCCAGCTAATAATAATAGTGTCATCATTAATTTATTTTAAGGCAATAATTTTAAAAATATAATAGTTCTGATATTGTCAATAGCCTGAGCTGTTAATAAGTTATTAATCGGTTATTGATTGTTTTAGTTAATTGGTATTCTTTATATACAAAAATATACAATGTTATTATTTATGCTGACATATTTATATAACAATATGTATATTAGAATATGTATACACAGGTAAGTTTATACTTGTAATATTTGCTTTAATCTCAACACGTAGAGACCATTTAGTTATGTTTAGACAGTTAAAGGTAAGAAACGTGAACGAGTGATGGCTAAGTTAATAAAACCTGGTCTGAATTTATTAAAATTTAGAATAATTATATATTTAATTGCATTGGCACATTTATTGGTAATGTCAACGAAATTGTTGAATATAGACTTTGAATTATCCCAAGATTTGAAGATTCGTTCTTATGCCAAGCTGAAGTGGAGATTGTTAACAACTTGGTTCAATGTAAGTTATGTTTAATATTTATTATTTACTCAAAAAACAGATTTTATATAGAAAATTGTACAATGTTTTTTATAATAATAACATTCCTTTACAATCAATATATAAAAGTACTTTAAATTATTCGATAAATAATGTTGTATATTATTTTATAGGAAATAAAATGAATTATCCTTACTTTGTAAAAAAAAAAACAAACATTTTTTATATAAATTCTCTAACTATTATATCAATGTAATTTAAGTTTAAAAATTATTTACGTCGTAATTTTTTTTCCATTTTATACAATTAAAATATTTCGTCGTCACACATATGTTCAATAAAATGTATTCTTCAGAGGAATATTCGTTCGTTTCGAGTTACTTTATTTTTTAGATTTTTTCTTATCTCTTATATTTCTTTAAGTATTAACGGTGTCTCTGTAATGTCTTTTATAGCTATTAACTTTGGGATACATGCCGATATGCTTGTATTGCGACTGGCGTGAGATGAGAGGGGAAGGTTCCCGGGTACACGTTAAAATATTGAACCAATTCAGGACCTTTTGTTTTTCCAGCCTCATCCTTCCCTCTACGACGGTAAGTGTTTTTCAATGTTAAATTCTATTTTTGTATTTTTTAAGTACATTCTACATACACTTATACCTGTTTTTCAGGTAAGATTTTTCAGATAATTCTATATATAGTGCCTGCTCCAAAAACTTTAGACTAATACACGTATCGTCTTGAGTTCCATATAATATTTACCGTAAAATTTTTCATAAGCGTGTTTGAGTTTTCATCGCTCGGTATAAAATATGGTTCGATTTTCCCCACAGTTTTCTATAAAGAGTATCTTTGTCCACGCTATTGTGTCTGCACTTGACGGCTTTCTTTATTTACATTTGATATTATTTTTAAACGTCGAAGCAACGTGTAAACAACCTATGAAATGTTAAAACATCTGAAAATCGGAACACAAATATTTACAGTGTTAACGTTTTATGGTTTACACAAATTTTATATAGATTTCAAGATGAGATTCAATTATTATATATGATAATATGTGCTGACATATTATATTTAAGGTGAATTTTTCACAAAAGTTTCTTTCTGTCACACAAAATTTAACAGACTCTGTCACAAAACCCTGAATATGAACATATACAGTAATTGTTAGTAGAATATTTGTTTTCATCTTATTCCTTTACAAATAAACATAACTCGTCATGGCAATAAAATTATTACTTCAACATTATTTGCACAATACTAAAATATTAATAAAAAGGTTTTAGAAGTCATAAGACTCATAAAAAGAGTAAGATATAAGTTTAACGGAAAAGTATTTACAAAGAAGTTCATTTTATGTAAAATAAAATACCACTAAACATAATAATCAATTCCACAAAAATAGGAAAAATTAATTACAAAAACATTAATAACTAAAGAAAAGGCGTTGAGACTAAAAACAGAGAAGAATTATGGCAACAATACAAAAAAGAGTATAATGTTCACCTGCATATGTAATGCAGTTTTTAGAGAAGTACTGGCTTTTGCACTCGTTGTTAGCTAAAGCTTCCTTTTCATATCAACTGACTATACTTGACCATAATTTCTTTTATAGGCAGGAGAAAATTAAACCCCAGATGTTTGACTTATAATCACACTAACATCCAAATTAAAAACATTATCTTCTCGCGTATTATTTTAAAAAAATTCTACGAGTATTATCAGTCAGATATATTTGCATGCTACATACAGTATTCCAAAGGTTTCTCTTCTATTAAATAAGAGTTTTAATCTAGTAATAAATACACATTTATTATTCTGATGTTTCTGTTCAATTTTTATTATGATAATAATAACCCAGACAGGAGTTTTTGCTTATAATTATATTATTATGTTTTTATCATAACATAATTTTAATTAAATTTTCTTATTATTATGATTAATAGCATATGTTACTTACAATACCTATATGGACAAAAAAAAACTATAATACATTTTAAATTTCTTCAAAGTAAAGATATAAATTGAACAAATATTTGAATTAAATATAATAGAATGATAGCAATAATTTTCCAGATCCACTCTAGTTGTTATTATTAACAATCATCTGAAATTGTCATTGATTGAAAAAAAAATCTTATTACATAGCTATTTATACACTGTATATATTTTCCTTGCATCATAACATTTGGAATATAAGGTTTTTTACATACAAAAGTATTATAAATATATAAGGATAATAGTTACAAAGTAGTTTACAGTATTTGTGACGTGTCAATGTTATTCAATGTTATTTAAAATTGCGGCATTAAATACAATCGT